TTAATGTGTGTTTTGTGTGTGTTTTTGCTCTCTGTGTTTATCCTATAATAATTATTATTGCTACTCCATTGTGTGTTCTTGGAGACTCTCTCTTTGTGTGCCTCTGGGCTTGCACTGTGATGATGATGATGATGATGAACTGTTTATTGCAGTGAGAAAAATAATAATAATAATAACAGATGAATTTATATTTATAATTGCTTATATACACATATATAGACTTACACCCATAGTTGGTGTATATTTCTGTGTTTACTGGGTAAATTGGGCTAGGGGTTAATATCTGTTTGTTTGTTTGCTTGCTCTTGGTGTGCCCTGTACTATTATTGTAATAGTCTGCTTTGCGCATAGGTAAAAAATATAGCTATTGTTACACATTAATTATGTATTCTCTGTATGTTGTACAAGTAATAGAGAGCTTTGTATTTGTCTGTTTTTCGCTCTTGTTGCTCTCACGTTTCTCTTTTTATGTTTCTTGTTAGTTGGGATTTTGTGTTTAATACTGGGTTTTGTGTGCTTGTCGTTTAATTGGACTATGAGTGATGTTGGAGTGTTACCTTTTCTGTGTGGTTTCTTTTTTTGCTATGATTGTTTTTGTATTGTTTTTTTTTTTCGATTGGTGTATTTACTCTTTGCCTTCCAACTGTTTCTATATGGGATTTCCCGAGCATATTTCAGTTAAGGGACGCAAAAAAAGAGAACAAATTTCTTCTTTCATGATGCTTCTACGCCAAGTATTCTTCTTTGTTGCCTTATTGGTGAGCTGCACCTCGGTGTGTGTTTTGGCTCAAACGGTTCAGTCTGAGACATTGGTTGAGGAGCAAGTTCAGAGTCTTGCTCTTTCTTCTTGCACTGATGGTTCTGCTGCTACTTGTCATTCTGCTTCTCAGAGAGATCCTACTCCTCCTGGTCATGCTAAGGAATCTCGTGAGTGCAAAGGTGGTTCTACTGGTCCCACTTGTGTTTCTCCTGAACCGGCACAACCTGCTCTACGTATTACTGAAGGAAACGATGGCCATGCAAATGGTACAAAAGGTCCCACTGGTGCTTCTGGTGAAAGAGGAGATGCTGCGGCGGGTGCAGCTAGATCTGGTGGTGGTGGTTCTTCTTCTTCTTCTTCTGCTCCTCCTCCAGGTCAACTACCACCCCCTGGTAGTGAGGGTACTTGTTCTTCTGGTACTAATTGTAATACCGGCCGTAGTGATTCTGAACCTTCTCGTACTAAATGTGCGGAACCTTCGGGTACGGATGGTTGCATTACCAATGGTCCTACCACTGAAGACAGTTGTCGTGGTGGATCTGGTGATACAGATTGTACACAACAACAGCAGAAACCGGGTCTAAGTACAAGTACTCGTAGAGAAGAAGGTCAGGACAACGGTATTCCAGGTCCCTCTGGTGCTGCTGGTGGAAAAGGAGAAGCATTGGCTGGTTTACCTGGATCTGGTGCTGTTGCTTCTTCTTCTTCTTCAGACCCTTCTGCTCCTGGTCCTACTCCTCCTGCTAAGCTTTCTGGGGAAAGTTCTGTAGAGCCTTCGGGTGATGGCCAAGCTGGAAGCAACGGCAACCATACACCACCTGAAGGTGAAAATGGAGATAACCGTGTAACTGCGGAGACACAACCTTCTGCTGACTCTCCAAACACTTCGTCCACAGGGAGTTCCGATGTTTCTGATGCTACAACGGTTGGGAATGACACTACACCTGCTGAGGGTGAGTCATCAAGCAACCAACAAGATGTGGAAACTGCAGACACCACCACTTCAACCACCACCACCACAATAACAACACTTCCTCCTGAGTCTGCAAACAACAAGAAGGGTGATGCAGACAGCAGCACCAGTATCAGCAGTTCTGTGTGGGTGCGTGTGCCACTACTGATTGTGGTAGCACTGGCCTGTATTCTTGTGTGCTGATTGTAGTGATGGTGGTGGTGTGGTGTGACTCAGGTCATCCTTTGTTTTCTCTTCTTTTTTGCATGCAATCACTACAATCTAACTAATCTTCCACCTGTTGGGATTATTCTTCTTTTTTTGTTTCTTAATGTTAATGTGTTTTGTGTGTGTGTTTGCTCTCTGTGTGTTTATCCTATAATAATAATTATTATTGCTACTCCATTGTGTGTGTGTATGTTCTTGGAGACTCTCTCTGTGTGTGCACCTGGGCTTGCACTGTGATGATAATGATGATGAATTGTTTTTTGCAGTGGGAAAAAAGAAATAATAATAAAAGATGAATTTATATTTATAGTTGCTTATTTATACACATATAGACGTATATCTTTAGTAGATGTATTTCTGTGTTTACTGGGTAAGTTGGGCTAATGATTAATACCTTTGTTTTTTGCTTGCGTGGTTTGTTGGGGCGTTGTGCTTTTGCCCTGCACCGCTTTGGTATTCTGTTTTGTTCAGAATAGGAAAATAATAATAACTGTTACACAGAAAGTAATGTTTTGCTATGTTGACCAACGAATGAAGAGCTATATTTTGGTGTATTTTCTTCTCTTTTTTGGTCGTACGTATAAATTATTAAATCATTGTTTCTCTTCTGTGTTTTTTGAGAGGTTCTGTTTAGCATTGGGTATTGTGTGTTTTGTTTCTTTAATTGGACACTTTCTAAGTGATTGTTATGGCTTTATGTTTGTTTTCTATGTGTGCTTATATATATTTCTTGATGTGGAGCAACGATTTCCTTTTGTTGGTGTTTGTGTTCTCTTCTTTTTAATTACTTAGAGTAGTGATCCTAGATAGTAATAACAACAATTGTTCCGATGCCAATGAGGCACGTGCTTTATGTGTTGGTTCTCTCCTTCTGTTGTGTCTGCGGATGTGTGGGAGCTGATGCAGAAGGAGAGACTGATGGAGTTGGCGGTGCTACTGTTTTACAGATCCGGGAAAGTGGTACTCATTCAGAAGATGGGGAGGGAGCACCAACTGAAGACTGTGATGGACAGGAACCTGTGAAGGAATCCTGCAAACATAATACGAAGACGCTGGGGCCTAACAATGAGAGAATAGAACGACAAGACACTGATGACAGTACAGTTGCACACACAACAACAGAGATAAAAGGTAACGGTACTACACATACGCTCAACAGTT